CATAACTTCCACCAATATTTACACATATTTCTTCACATCCACCATTATTATCAATACATTCATTAATATCAGTACAATTATGATTATCTTTATCCAGTAAATAACCATCAAAGCAGCTACAGTTATAGTATCCATCTTCATCAGTGCATAATTGTGAACAACCTGATATTTCTTCCTTACATTCATTTATATCTATTGATCATCAGCATTAAGTGACTATAATAACAGAAAACAATACTTGAGCAAAATTTCTTGTTTTCTAATGCATAACCATCATTGCATGAACATTCAAAAGAAGAAATTTGATTAGTACATTTATGTTCACAACCTCCATTTTCATTAAGGCACTCATTAATGTCTATCAGTATTATTATAATCACACAACACATTGCATATAAGTTAATACCTGAGCAGTTTTTCCCATTACTATCTAAGGAGTAGCCACTATAACATGAACAAGTGTAGCTTCCATCAGTATTGGTACAGTTATGTTCACAATCACTGTTAATGCACTCATCAATATCTATAAGAAACTTATGGTTATTAATTGTAACCTTTATGATGCATGTATTACCCTGACATGTAGCATTGTCATTTTGGAGTTCATAGCCATCATTACATGAACAAATAAAACTATTATTTGTATTAGTGCAAACTTGACTACAGTTTGCTACACTTTCAGAACATAAGGTGATCACTGTACAAATAAAATTACAGTTGCAATAATTAACAATTAAATTTAGTATTATATGTACTTTGACAATTTCTCTCATCATCAGCTAATCTGTAACCAGGATAACATGAACAGTTAAAGGAGTCACCATCATTATTGCATATTTGCTGGCAGGCATCAGGATCAGTGTTACAATTTCCTACATAACTACAAATGAAATATTTTGTGACATAATACTAACGTGAGCATCCATGATTATCTACATCAAGAGCATAGCCAGTTACATTACATTCACAGTAATAAGATCCAGTGGTATCTATACAACGTTGTTCACATCCACTACTGTTATTTTCACACTCGTTAATGTTTAAACATGAGAAACCATCAGAGTCTAATATGTATCCTGTCCTGCAGCTACAGTCATAGCTTCCTATTGTATTGCTACAATTGTGCCAACAGTTATCACTGTTCAAGGCACATTCATCAATATCTGTGTTGCATAAAGAAATTTATGTTACAGTTACATGACAATCATACCTTCACAACTGTGACCATCAGTAGCATTTAAAAAATGTCCCCTCCAACAAGAGCAATAATAGCTTCCCACTGTATTACGACAGCGGTGCTGACAGCCACCATTATTTGTCGAGCACTCGTTAGTGTCTATGCAGTATTTTTGATTACTTATAAGATGATATCCAGTATTGCAGTCACAGTAGTATGATCCAATAGTATTGACACAGATGTGGTTACATGCATTGTTACCATTAGCACATTCATTGACATCTTTAAAATACTTGAACTTACATAGATCATGTAGTTTTACTTACCATCACACTGGTGTCTGTTGTAATTCAACACATAACTGTCATTACAGAGGCAATAATAGCTACCAATAGTATTTACACAAGTATGTTCACATCCTCCATTATTAGT